GAATGACGTAGAATGTTCCACAAAGAGAAACGTCAAGTTGGATGAAGACTGCGAACAGCGAGAGAAAGATAATGAGCGATAAACTTCAGAACATTCTAGAGCTGCCATAAGTACGAGCGCAGGTATATAGGGGCGCCGCCACAGCGAAGTGAGTTAGTTACAAGTCAGCAAGCTACAAGTAAAGTGAGCGGAGAATTGAGTGGCGAATAAGCAAGCTATAAGTTTAATTGTGTTAACAAGTAGTAAAGCGTTGTTATTGCTTTAACAAGTATTGTAAAGTGTTTTTACTGTATTAGCAAGTATTGTAAATTGTTTGTTGTACAATAAAGTTAATTGTACTACAATTTGGTCATCGTGAGCATTTATTTAACAATCCGGCGATACGAGCCCGAGTATATTTGGGAAATCCCTCAAGGTTTCGAGGATAATCGTAACAACATAACAGTCGCCAAACTGTACCACGAATTCTAGGACGCCGCTAGGTCCGTTATCGTCGAAAAAATTCGAATTCCGTTAAACAGCGGACAAAGCGCCAGCTAAGTGCGGCGCACAAGTGAAGCAGCAGTATGCGAGGGCGTCAAATCTTCAGCTACAAAACGCGAGCGGCGTTAGTTAAGCAGCAGAGAAGTCGAAGCAGCAATCGTGCACACTGGCACGTCAATTGAAATCCTACGGTCCAATCAGATATAGCCGACGCTCTGGGTGAAGCAGCAGAGTACACCACCGCTACATGTGCTCATGCATATTCTGTGTATGTATTCAGTCAGCAAATATCTAAACTTCTGGGTGAAGCATTAGCACACAGAATCAAGGTACATACCAAGAATGATAGAATACAAGATTGCGCCGATCAGAGAGGATTTTTGAGAATAACTTTTGTGTGACGTCACACTGGTGCAATTGCGAGAGAGAAATGCCAAAACGTGAGCAAGAATGGAAGAAGAAGAAAAGTTGCAAGGAAAATGTAAACAAGATGCACCAGTGTGACGTCATGCAAACGACGATTCTGTCAAATTCGTTAAGAGAGGAATAGCGGTCCGAGATCGGCGCAACCTTCGTATTCTCTCAATCGTGGGTACATACAGTAGAGGAGTGCAGACTCTGTGTGGGGCAGCGGACTAAACCAACAGCATAGCTTCTGGGTGAAGTAGCATTGCACAGGCATCGGAGCTTCTGTGTGAAGCGGCATTGCGCAGTCAACGAAACGGCGAAATAGAGCAGTTCTGCGCAGAAACGGTGCGGGCAGCAGATCGCATCAACGCAACAGCAGAGCGCACCACCGTAAAAACTTCTGTGTGAAGCATCCCCGCGTACAAAAAAATGGTGGCTATGGGGGGGTAGGGGGAGTTCTCCTGATTGCAAATATATACTTTTAGCCGCAGCAGGCTTATAGTTTTTAAGTTATTTGTTGTTAAAGTTTGTAAATTGAACTAACCTCTCAGCGCTATTTCACACAATAAACACTATATTTATGTACACACTTCGGCAAAATAGTTGCATTAAAACCCCGCACAATGAAATGTAAACATAATTTTTACATTTATGATGTATTTTTAGTAAATTAAGTAAGTTTTTATAATTATCATGCACTTATATATGTATACGCACATTGTGAATACAGAACTGTTGATTCAACCATGGTTTCACACTGACATTAGAAGAGTACTGCCACATCGAGGAAAATAACAATAAAAGAGAATAGTTTTTATCGTACCCATTTTCCTACTCAGCGTTGAATTAGTAGTAAAGGAGGGTGTGGGGTTAAACACCCCCAATATATAAAAAAAAATTACAAGCGCCGCATTATTTATCGAAGTATTGATTTTTATGGAAAGAGCGCCGCAGGCGAAAATTTTGAATACAAAATCGCGCGATTTTTTATTAAAAATTTTCATTATTTATCAAATTATCGATGTACGTTTTATACATTTGTGTACTTTGAACTACAATAACACCAGTAAATATTATTTCCACCCGAAAAAAATTATACCGTTATGATCAGGAGTAAGACCCCTATCGATCCTAATATTATTATTCTTAATAAGAGCAATGAATGTACGTATTGTACACTTATACTCCCTAATTATACGCACTTATTTGTGGTGTATTTTTTTAACGTATGGTGGCATACATTTTGTATTATTGTCAGCCAGTGTTATTTGTGCTTGTTTGTGAAATGTGCAAACGTTATGATTCATAAACGCGTTTTACTTAATTAATTAATTAAGAATTGTATATTAAAGTGGAAATCTCAGGCCGGGGTTTTAATGCAACTATTTTGCCGAAGTGTGTACATAAATATAGTGTTTATTGTGTGAAATAGCGCCGAGAGGTTAGTTCAATTTACAAACTTTAACAACAAATAACTTAAAAAGTATAAGCCTGCTGCGGCTAAAAGTATATATATTTGCAATGAGGAGAACTCCCTCTACCGTTCCATAGCTACCTCAATGCGGAACTCCGGGGATACAAACTAAATTGCAGCCGTGTGCGGCAGCAGAGCGCACCACCGTAACAACTTCTGTCTGAAGAAAAATAAGTGCGCAGGCAAGGTGTATTAAACAAGGTGGTGTGGGGGCGACAGCTGAGTTTTTCGCCGTGGAGGCCATTACGTCAAAATGATGTGTTTGTTGTAACTCATACCAATGACAGTATGGACATCAGCATATAATTTGTTAAGGCGGATTCACCGTTCGTGTCCGGACACTTTTTGTTAGTCATTTTACTCGTTCTTTTCCCACTCTGTCTCACTGAGAGCGCAACCAAAATGTGCTGAACACTCTTTGTTTGAATCAAATTGATTTTGATTATCTGTCCGAACGACTTGATGATTATGATTGCCATTATTTCTTTTGTTTACGTTTGGTAGCAGTTGACCTGTATAAAACAAATGATTTAACATAAACACACATGTAGGCAACACTTTCGAATGTCAGTCAGCTGGTTTTTTTTCACGCAAAATAAATAAAAATAATATGCAATCGACACAAGGACCAAGTAAATGTAATTTATTTCAATAATAATTACTTAAAATTTGAATGTTCTTAGATTTACCACTACTCAAAAAGCTCTTCGTGGAGGTACAGAAGGAATCCCGATCATTTTTGTACGATCTCAGCCAGAAGGAATATAAAAATAACAAATTGAATCAAATAGTTTGGGCTGAAATTGCCGAGTCGCTTGAACTACCACGTAGGTGATATTTTATTAATGTACATATGTGTGCTCAATAGGCGAGTCTTTATTTTTATTAGAACATGAAGTTCAAGTGCTCTGGAAACGCACCCGGAATAAATACAAAGCTGCGCTTGCCAAGTCTATCTTACCCAGTGGTAGTGCGCGGCGCCCACAAAAACAGATGGATTTGTTCTTGTTGCAGGAAATGGATTTTTTGCGACCGTTTATAGAGGATGCCGAGTAAGCAATGTCCATTTCTGATGCGATGTTACGATCAGCAAAAGTTGCTTCCGATACCGTAGCAACATATCACCATTACGTTACCATATACATACATCCATTTACACCTGCATATACATACATTCACACGCACATACATATAAGCAATCAGAAATAGGAATACTTCGATTTTTCCGAGGTGTATATTAAAATTGTAGTGGAAAGTTAAAAGAGTTTATATATACATAAACACTGGCCCTTAATGCGATTGGCGATGCTCGGTTGATAACTGCTAGTTATCAACGAAATTGACAAAATGGTATTGAATCTTGTACCATTTGGTAAAATTGATTAATAATAATCAACTATCAACCACGACTTGACAATCGAAAAAGGGGCCATTGAAAAATTTTATTATGTTTATGTAAAGTTTTATTCCAAAAGTCTGAATCCTTTTATGCGCTTATATCATTAATAGACCAACATCGACGAACTACACCGACGCCAACACACAACGAATTCAACATTTAATCGATGAAATGGCCACAGATCCAGAGGTTATAGACTGTTCCATGGATGAATCTTCGTCAACGCCGATTATTCGCAAAAAGCCAAAATCCGTGGATTCCACTAAAGATATAGAGGCAAGCTTGCAACGATTGGAAGGTACTGCGACGAAAATCTTGGCCACTCCGCGGGACCCGTTTTATTCATATTTTGAAACGGAAATGGAGAAATTGTGTGACCCAGTGAAAGCAGAATTAAAATCACAATTCATTACTCAAATTTATGAAGCTCAAAAGAACAACGATTTTTAATAATTTATTTATGATTCTATTATTATATATTATTGCACTTTATTAAGCTTAAACTTAGTAGAGTGTAAAACCGCATACTAAACCTTTTTCTGGGAACTCTGATAGAACATGAAATTTTGTTGAAACTTTGTAGATTATTTAATTTTAACTTTGAAACTTTTATTTACATATATATGGGTTGGTTTACCTTTTAAAAACTAATGAACATTGAACAAGAGAAAAATAGCCAAAATTGGTCAAAAACTTGGGGTTATATTCTATTAGAAATAGGTATGCATGTATACAGTGACGAAAATATAAATAGGGAAGCGAAATTTTAACAAGTTTTGGCTATTTGTCTTTTGCTAATTATTCTTATGAATTTACATATCAATGGCTGAGTTGAAGATCGGCCTATCTCAGCAGCAAGTTCGAAAACGCCCTACTTCAGATTTTGATTGAAGAATGTCCTATTTAAGAGTTTTATTGAAAAACACTCTGTCTCAGAATTCGGTTCAAAAACGCCCTATCTCAAACGAAAATACATTGAAAATATGCTGAGATAGGGCGTTTTTGAACAGAATTCTGAGATAGGGCGTTTTTCAATCAAGTTCTAAAATAGAGCGTTGTTCAACAAAATTTTGAAATAGGGCGTGTTTTAAAAGTTTTCTGAGATAGGGCGTTTTCGAACTGGTTGCCGAGATAGGTGGATCTTCCACTCAGCCATCGATATTTGGCTTAGGTTTTACAATGACCATAGGTCATTTATAAACATTAAAGAAAAAGTAAAGAAAGAAGAGAAAAGAAAAGAAAAGAAAAGAAAAGAAAAGAAAAGAAAAGAAAAGAATGGAAAATAGTCAAAGCTGGTCAAATCGTTGGGGTGGTTTTATTTTGACAATAGGTATGTTATAAACTATAAACTACTCTGGAAAGCTTTCAAAGTAATTTGTAAATATATTCCGGACAGTCATGGCATCTTGTGAGGCATGATTACTTAGAGAAGATAATATTGGTTGTAAATCAATTCGGGTAATGTCTAATTCGCTGTCCTCTTCAACTTCATCCGCGTTTAAATAATTGGAGGCGCTTTTGTCTCGAAGCCAATTATGCAAGCACACTGTAGCCTTCACAATATTTATTGCAGTTTCCTTGATTGCAATAATTGGTTTGCGGTATATCCGAAAACGGCTGGATAAAATTCCGAATGCGTCTTCAACAACCCTTCGCGCTTTGGACAGGCGTTTGTTGAATATTATTTCTTTTTGAGGCAAGTTCGTAACATTTCGGCCAGGATATGGACGCATTATATTCTTTCGTAAAGGAAATGCTTCATCTGCGAGAAAAACAAAAGGAGCAATTTCATTTGTGTTAGGAAGTACTTTTTCTCCAGGAATTTTCATATTTTGGGGGTGATGCAAAATACTGTTGCCAAATTTTGAATTTTTAAACACTCCACCGTCACTATTATGTCCTAAAGCACTTATGTCTACCATTATAAATTTATAGTTCGCATCGGCCACTGCCATTAAAACCAAACTGTGCGTATGTTTGTAGTTGTAAGTAAGCGACTTGTGGTTCGGAAACGCCTGCAATTAAGTTATTTTTTTAGTAATTTTTTACGCCTGTATATGTGTATATATAATATTTTTATACACACCTGTATTACGACATGTTTCCCGTCTATTGCACCTAAGCAATTGGGAAAGTCCCATTCCAAAAAGAACTCGTCTGAAGTACTTTTCCACATGTCTTTAGAAGGAGTAGGCAAAACAAATTGTAATTTTTCCCATATCTGTTGACAGGTTTCCCTTACAATATTAGATGTGGTCGAAGCGCCAATTAAAAATCCATAAAACCCAACTGATTTCATGCTATCTCCACTCGCTAAATATCTATAAAGGCAGCCTGTTTACTATAGGACGCACATTTAAAATTTATTTCGCGCTTCATTGTGGCTGGCTATTCCAAAAGGGCAGGTCAATGAAGTACATAATGTGTATATTATCTATTTTGGAACGAATCACCACCGGAGTTAAAACGAACTGAAATTGTTTTGTCTCCCAATCGAATTTAGCAATGAGTGACGGAGATTTCTTCCAAAAACATCATTTCCTTAAAGCGTTTACCTTAAAGTAAGAGCCAATCTTTATCCTGGTGATATTTCTTCATTAAATCTATTGGGTTGATTCTTCAAGTTGGGTCCCAAAATGTGAAGGAGCTCATCGAAGGTCTTCGGATCCATGCGGTGAAAATTTATAAACGATTGAACGTCATTCAAACGCATCTTTGGTATGCGCGAGAAAAAAAAAACCATCTTTGCCTCGGTCCAAAAGTAATTTACGCACAGCACAGCTTCTTGACCTTTTGCTTTTCTGCTTCAAGCGGTTCAATCTAATTAATAGGCAAAATTTTTGAACTTCTACGCAAAATAATTGGATTTGTTGATGCCTTTCCANTTTTTCACTACGTCAAATTTCACCCAAATGACAGTTCATCAGCTTTTGACTTTAGAGGCAAATAAAATGTGCCGAACTGAGCGGTGAACCGTACTTCAGCACTCTCTCCGACAAAAAATTATTGAGAGAAAATAAAAAGTTGTCCGGACACGAACGGTGAACCCGCCTTTAGTGTAATTTTTTACTTATATACGGCCAACAACACCTTGTTAAATACGCCTTGTGCGCAGGGCACAAAACTTCTGTGTGAAGCGGAGAAGTGCGCAGTCAACAAATTTTTGGTGAAAAGCAGAGAAGAGAAGCAAAACCAAAACGTCGTGTTAGCAACGCAGCAAACGCCAACATTGTCGCAGTTTGGAGTTACAAACAGCACGAGTGCAGCGAATAGGGGTTATTTTCAACGAAAACACATCTGCCTGAAGAGAACTACTGCTAACAAATTATACGCTGATGTCCATACTGTCATTGGTATGAGTTACAACAAACACATCATTTTGACGTAATGGCCTCCACGGCGAAAAACTCAGCTGTCGCCCCAACACCACCTTGTTTAATACACCTTGNTATTTCTTCATTAAATCTATTGGGTTGATTCTTCAAGTTGGGTCCCAAAATGTGAAGGAGCTCATCGAAGGTCTTCGGATCCATGCGGTGAAAATTTATAAACGATTGAACGTCATTCAAACGCATCTTTGGTATGCGCGAGAAAAAAAAAACCATCTTTGCCTCGGTCCAAAAGTAATTTACGCACAGCACAGCTTCTTGACCTTTTGCTTTTCTGCTTCAAGCGGTTCAATCTAATTAATAGGCAAAATTTTTGAACTTCTACGCAAAATAATTGGATTTGTTGATGCCTTTCCATACTGTAATTCAAATTTGGCAGCTTTTTATTTATTTTACTTTAGGAGCGTTCCTTATCTCCCAGAAATAGTCAGAAAAAGTCCGAAGTAGTCAGATTTAGTCCAAAAAGCGTTCCTTAACTCGGAAATGACAGCAAAAATGAGAGAGCAACAGTCAGTGAGAGTGACTCTCATCAGTCCGAAGTAGTCAGATTTAGTCAGAAGAATTTTTTCTGGCAAAATCCTGAAAAGTGTCAAACTCAACTGAATTTAAATTAACGGAAATTAAGGAATACGCTAAAAGTGAGAATAATCTAAAAAGTAAAAGAAATGAATTGAAATTGGAAGAAGGCAAAAAATAATTGATATAGCAAGTGTTTATTGTGCTTGTGCTTGTGTGAATGTGTTTTGTACATACATTTCTGTTCTTATTTGACGTTAGTTTTGTTGTTGCCATTCTTTGGACTAAAAATTTGGTTTTTTGCGTTCCTTTACTTTTCATGTTATTCTCTTTAAGTGAGCGCATTTTGCTTACGCTCTGGCATTTTGACACTTTTCAGATTTTATTCCAAAAAGATAAGGAATGAACCTTTTTTCACTACGTCAAATTTCACCCAAATGACAGTTCATCAGCTTTTGACTTTAGAGGCAAATAAAATGTGCCGAACTGAGCGGTGAACCGTACTTCAGCACTCTCTCCGACAAAAAATTATTGAGAGAAAATAAAAAGTTGTCCGGACACGAACGGTGAACCCGCCTTTAGTGTAATTTTTTACTTATATACGGCCAACAACACCTTGTTAAATACGCCTTGTGCGCAGGGCACAAAACTTCTGTGTGAAGCGGAGAAGTGCGCAGTCAACAAATTTTTGGTGAAAAGCAGAGAAGAGAAGCAAAACCAAAACGTCGTGTTAGCAACGCAGCAAACGCCAACATTGTCGCAGTTTGGAGTTACAAACAGCACGAGTGCAGCGAATAGGGGTTATTTTCAACGAAAACACATCTGCCTGAAGAGAACTACTGCTAACAAATTATACGCTGATGTCCATACTGTCATTGGTATGAGTTACAACAAACACATCATTTTGACGTAATGGCCTCCACGGCGAAAAACTCAGCTGTCGCCCCAACACCACCTTGTTTAATACACCTTGAGCGGAACTTTCGAAACGTAAAAAGAAAGATAATCAGAACAGAAAGCGAATATCAAATAAATAGAATTCCATTGTGCATAAGTTATTTGAAATAACAAGTATACGAGCTATAAATGTTAATTTGAAATTTGTCGTGCAAAAGTTATTTGAAATAACAAGTATACGAGCTGTTAATGCTAATTTGTTGTGCAAAAGATATTTGAAATAACTAGTATTTACGCTATAAATGTTAATTTGTATTTTAAAGTGAACACCAAATAGTTCTTACTTCAAACTAAATACCAAACATTTCTTGTACTAATTTAAGTCCTCAGTGCTATTTTATTGCTAATTTCAAAATATTACCATAATGGACAGAGAACAAATTTTTAAGTTGACTGTTAACGAACTGAAAGAAAAGTTAGTGGGGCTTAATCTTGCAACGTCCGGACGTAAAGCAACTTTACAGGACAGGTTATGTGAACACTTCGGCCTGACTGTAAGTGACGATGATGGCTCAAACGATGATTGCGAATCAGTGCAAAGCTACGTTTCCCCGTAAATAGGTAATGGGCGCGCAACCTTCACACTGCGTGATATAGAGAGCTCGATGTTGACTTTTAGTGGTTCAGGTCATCCCACCATCGAATAGTGGCTTGAAGCATTTGAAGACAATGCTTCTGCGGTTCATTGGGATGAGTTGCAAAAATACATTTATGGTAAGCAGCTTTTGAA